AGCACATGGCCTCTTCGCGGAGCGACGCCAGGCGTGCTGGTCACAAAGGAGACTGTGCTGAGGTCGCAGGGCTGTGGGTTTGGATCCCTGGGTCAGCCTGAGATACACCGGGAGTAGGTGCATCAGGATCTGAGGAGCTCGGGGGCTGGGGGAAGGAGACGGCAGTGACCAGAGCCTGTGTGCAACCGTGAGTGCGGAAAGTAAGACGGGGAAGAAGCTGGGCGTGTGTCAGGGACGCCGTGGCACGTCCATTCTTCTGTAGGCCCCGAGTCACGGAAGGGTTGGGATTACCAAGAAGCAGGATTACCGTGTGCGACAAGTGGAGGGGACGGGATGTGGAAGGACAGTACTGGGTTGTCAAAGACGACCGCGGTGTATTTGCTCTACATTGTTTTCCTATGCGAAAACACACCATGACTTTTCCGGCAATCCAACAGGTCCAAAGAGGACAATTCAACACAAAACTAGAGGCAGGAGGTGAAAAGGCCCTGAGGCAGAGCGATAGAAACGGAACTGAGCTGATGAACACGGGAAATCTACAAACCACGACACCAAACTCGTGCTCCAAATCATCAAGTGCAGGGTCCAGCAGGTGGTGTGGTGTTAGGTGTGGGGTTCCCACATGGCGGGCCATAGTTGGGGTTCTGGACCAAGCAGTTTGGGAGCCCCACCGGGCACATGTGCATGAGTGCCCAAAATCCTGCGAGAAGAGAGGAGGAGGAGGGATTGCAGTGTGGCCATCCCTGGGGGGTGGCGAGAATTTCTCACTTTCCCTTTCTTTGTCTCTTTCCAGAGGGTGCACATGCCCTATGGTAAAAACCTTAAGAAAAAAAATAGAAAGAATGAAAAAAGAAAAAAGAAAGAAAGAAGAAAGAAATGCATATCCTCAACCTAACGACTGTCTGTGCCCCACATGGTTAGTCTAAGTCCCTAACTTTACTCAACTTGGAATGCTGCGACAGTCCCTAGGCATTCCCATCCTGCGCTCTTAACCCACCCACACCTGCCGTGGTGAAGCCAGAGGCAGCCTGTTGGACCTAATTGCCCTGCGGGATATTCTCCAGGAGCTTCCCACTGCCACCGGAGTAAACCCACGCTTCGGACGGTGGTCCCCAGAACTGCGGGCTCTCCTCTCGACCTCCTTCCATCACGGCCTCGCCGACCTGCCCTGTCTCTCAGAACACCGAGCTCATCCTCACCGAGGGGTGTGCACACGTTCGCTCCTCCTGAAGGGCCCCACACACCCTCCGTGGGAGGCCTTCAAGTTTTCTCACGTCTCACCTGGAGTGTCTTCGCACACGGGCCTTTGCGAGTTGCTGTTCCTAAAGGCGCCCCTCTCGCTGTCCCTGACCCGGCTTCATTTCTTCAGGGTACTTACTTCACCTGTACCCGCTCGCTGGTTCTCTCCCTCCCACCCCAGGTGACAGCGGGACCCTGTGTGCTTCGTCCACTGTTCTCCCCAGCCTAGTGGACAAGCCTGGAACATGGGAGACGCTTGAGAAACACATTTAACCACACCAGACTAGGCCCCGCCGCCGTCGAGAGCAGCTCCCCTGTGACAGCGGGTTCCTCCCGGGTCATCTGCGTCGTTCACGCCAGCCAGATGGCCCTGCGTGGCTCACCCCACGGCCGGCCGCCACCACTGCCAGGGAGCTACGGTTTAATCGTACTCTAAACCCATGGTCCCTCTCAATTACCCTCATTTCAGAGTAGAAACATGCCATCGGTTCATCCTCAGTAGCTGCCTACATCATCTGATTATTCAGGGCTTGGGACATGGAAGGAGGTACCACGAGAGGCCCAGAGGTGCCGACACTACTATTTAGCAGGATCTGCACCCGAAGTGGAGCGCAGGCAAAAGTGCAGGAAGGCGCAGCAGGGACCCATGCTCGTTTCTGGCCAAGCTCAGATGATGTGGAAGGACAGTACTGGGTTGTCAAAGACGACCGCGGTGTATTTGCTCTACATTGTTTTCCTATGCGAAAACACACCATGACTTTTCCGGCAATCCAACAGGTCCAAAGAGGACAATTCAACACAAAACTAGAGGCAGGAGGTGAAAAGGCCCTGAGGCAGAGCGATAGAAACGGAACTGAGCTGATGAACACGGGAAATCTACAAACCACGACACCAAACTCGTGCTCCAAATCATCAAGTGCAGGGTCCAGCAGGTGGTGTGGTGTTAGGTGTGGGGTTCCCACATGGCGGGCCATAGTTGGGGTTCTGGACCAAGCAGTTTGGGAGCCCCACCGGGCACATGTGCATGAGTGCCCAAAATCCTGCGAGAAGAGAGGAGGAGGAGGGATTGCAGTGTGGCCATCCCTGGGGGGTGGCGAGAATTTCTCACTTTCCCTTTCTTTGTCTCTTTCCAGAGGGTGCACATGCCCTATGGTAAAAACCTTAAGAAAAAAAATAGAAAGAATGAAAAAAGAAAAAAGAAAGAAAGAAGAAAGAAATGCATATCCTCAACCTAACGACTGTCTGTGCCCCACATGGTTAGTCTAAGTCCCTAACTTTACTCAACTTGGAATGCTGCGACAGTCCCTAGGCATTCCCATCCTGCGCTCTTAACCCACCCACACCTGCCGTGGTGAAGCCAGAGGCAGCCTGTTGGACCTAATTGCCCTGCGGGATATTCTCCAGGAGCTTCCCACTGCCACCGGAGTAAACCCACGCTTCGGACGGTGGTCCCCAGAACTGCGGGCTCTCCTCTCGACCTCCTTCCATCACGGCCTCGCCGACCTGCCCTGTCTCTCAGAACACCGAGCTCATCCTCACCGAGGGGTGTGCACACGTTCGCTCCTCCTGAAGGGCCCCACACACCCTCCGTGGGAGGCCTTCAAGTTTTCTCACGTCTCACCTGGAGTGTCTTCGCACACGGGCCTTTGCGAGTTGCTGTTCCTAAAGGCGCCCCTCTCGCTGTCCCTGACCCGGCTTCATTTCTTCAGGGTACTTACTTCACCTGTACCCGCTCGCTGGTTCTCTCCCTCCCACCCCAGGTGACAGCGGGACCCTGTGTGCTTCGTCCACTGTTCTCCCCAGCCTAGTGGACAAGCCTGGAACATGGGAGACGCTTGAGAAACACATTTAACCACACCAGACTAGGCCCCGCCGCCGTCGAGAGCAGCTCCCCTGTGACAGCGGGTTCCTCCCGGGTCATCTGCGTCGTTCACGCCAGCCAGATGGCCCTGCGTGGCTCACCCCACGGCCGGCCGCCACCACTGCCAGGGAGCTACGGTTTAATCGTACTCTAAACCCATGGTCCCTCTCAATTACCCTCATTTCAGAGTAGAAACATGCCATCGGTTCATCCTCAGTAGCTGCCTACATCATCTGATTATTCAGGGCTTGGGACATGGAAGGAGGTACCACGAGAGGCCCAGAGGTGCCGACACTACTATTTAGCAGGATCTGCACCCGAAGTGGAGCGCAGGCAAAAGTGCAGGAAGGCGCAGCAGGGACCCATGCTCGTTTCTGGCCAAGCTCAGATCCCAGCGGTTAAATTAAGTCGCAAATACTCACGATGGCTTGCTGTTTAACGCTGTACGCCTATCTAATCGACTACTTGTACACATACTTGTTCAGCCACAAAAATCCTAGGAGGTGGCTACTATTATCCTCATTTTACATAAGAGGGAACCAAACAGGAAAAAGTACTGGTACTAACCCCACAATCAGGGCATATTTGGCTAGAACTCACCCCTCGCACCTTCTGACATAAATTCTACGTCCCGCTGCGCGACTAGAAAGAAGAGCTCCAGCATGGCAAGTCACAGACGCGGCCTAAGCAGCTAGCCCTTCCCACGGGAACTGAGCAGACCTAGAGGACAAGTACGCGGAGCTCAACAAGAGGCAGAGCAGGAAGGAAAAGAGTGATCGTTGTCATTCCAAAAGTAATTGGGTTAGAGAGGGATTCAAATGCATAAAGCCAGAGATAGGCTTTCTCCCCCCCAGAACCAATACCATGACTACACGGTGGACGCTTAATCAGACGCACACGACTTCACATAATGGTTAGAGGCTGATTACAAGTACTCCCCACTTAATGACCACACTGCACTCCTAGGTCTCGGCCACGAAGCGGACGGTGGGTGAGTGAGGAGCTTACAGGCCACCACAGCATACGCATTTTCCAGTCGGCAGCGTGCGACATCACACTAGGATCATGAAATTCTATCCACACAAGAAGCACCCTTAGCTAAGTGCTGGGAAGCAACACGACACACCGAAACACAGCAACGGAGGTCTGGCATGATCAGTTCTATTTATTCTGAATACTACTGTGAGTGCACAATACAAGTTTATAATGAGGTCTGTAGTCTTGAGTGCTTGCGAGCGCTTTATGCAGTAAATACTGACTGAGGCCGGAAGAGACAAAGATTGAGAAAGGGGAGTCTCAGGACTCAAGCAGACTGAGGTTGGGGGTTCCCTGTGTTCGAGAACCAGTCTTAAGTAAGAGCAGTCACTAAACAGGAAGGTTGTTCAGTAAGGAGAGGCTGTCAATATCATTTTAAGATCATCAATATCATAATTTATTTGAAAAAGGAACATAAAAATCTATATTTTAGGAACAGAAGAGACCAGCAGATGGCGGAATGGTTATGTCGACTGTGGTTTGAGTCCCAGACCTGGTGGCTTAAAGTTCATACAGGACGTGTATGCATGTGAGTGTGTGCCCAAAATCCCAAGAGGAGAATGGAGGAGAAGGGACTGCTGGGTGTCCACCCCTCCGAGAAGTGATTTCTCACTTTCTGTCTCTGTCTCTCTGGCAAGCACATGCACCCTATAGCAAAAATCTGTCTTAAAAAAAAAAAAAAAAAGAAAATCATCTTTATTATCAAAATTTGTTTAAAAATTTTATTACTGATACAAGTACTACATTTGATTATGGCTCTTCTATGGATTTCGTATTTTGCAAAAATTGCAAAGAAGTAACACCAATTTGAAGTTACTCATAAATTGTTACCCATAAAAAGTTACTCATAAAGAGTTCTACTTACGTTCTCCTGACATCCTGCTCAATCATTGATCGGAGTTCTTTATCTTGAAAGAATTTGTTCCAAAGACTCTGAAATGAGGAGAAGAATCTTTTACAAATAATCTCATACATTTGTTTAACCTCTATGATTTCCATATAAAAGTTTAAATGATGTAAGTTATTCTTCCCTGAGTTAACACTTCACATCATGGGTAGGATACCTGAGATCAGACTGATTTTTCATTAAAATCTAGATTACTCTCAGAAACATAGTCTTATTCAAAAAGCAACTTTTCCCAGTTCGATGTTATTATATACATTTTAAAACGTCTATATTCTGTATAAAGGGAATGGTACTGTTCACTGCTGTACACCTGCTACTACCCACGTAACAACAAGGTGGGGCTTGCATTAAGAGTAAGGCCCAGGGTACGACTGGGCCCAGCTTGAGCCTGACCTAAACCCCCAATGTGCTAAGAAAGACATGTAATTTTTTTTTTTTTTAAACAAAGCTTCACTTTATAATCCAATGGCTTTTAAGCGTATTTTAAAGTGTGAATTTAGGGAAAGTTTTAAAAATTACTTAAGATTTTCTGCTGTTATACCAAAGACTATATCATACTAATTATACATATCAGCAAAAAAGAATGCTGTTATTATGTACTGAATGGAAACGTGTTCACTTCTCAGGTA